TAAGGTGTATCAATCATTTTCATAAACAAAAACAAGTCTTGTTTGGTTAGAACTTAGTTAGGATTGATTAAAATTTGATAAATGGGGTTGGAAATCAATGGCAAAAGAAAATTTCAAGGTTTATTTTGACGAAGTGTCATTACGCTAACGAAACATCATGCATGCCTCAGCACTCCGCCTAAGCCTCAAAGGAACTTGTTATTCTGTTAGGTTACTTTTAATTGGGAAACATATTGTCTAATCATTCAGGTTAATCTTTATTTTTGGATGCATTACTTAAAAGTTCTTCTTTTTTTTTCTTTTTTTTTTTAGTGTTTTTGAGTTAGTCTATGCATATTTCAAAATTAATTTTTTTATAATTTGATTATAAATATACTATCCATATTAAAATTTAAAAATTTATGAAGAATTACCTCTATATTAGCATCCTAAAGAATTTCTACTTAAAGATATTAAATATTAAACTCAACTGACTTACATGTAAGGAACATGAAGTTTATGAGAATTCATTCATAAAATTAAATGTACTGCAAGAACGCAAATAAGTAGTTTCATCATAGCAAGCCAAAATCCACGAGGACAATACATTGCTCTAAAAAAACTAGCCTGGAAATCATAACTTCAACAGGTTGAGAATTCAAATTCACATATCAGTAAGGATTGGCAGAGATAAGAAATCAATTTCACAGGCTGTGGAACCCCTATGGTAACCTAAAATTCTGTCCTGGATACTCGACAGCCCATTGGCCTCTATGCCATGAGCCCAATAAATTATCATCTTCCCCAAAACTTTGGCATTCTAAGAAATACCGCACGACACAATGCTCATCAGGTGAACCAGAAAAGTAGTAATTAAACTTTGATTGTCTTCAAGTGAAAATAACAATCAGGCACATAAGCAAAATCACCCGTAATTCTAGAATGAACCTGAGCAGAAGAAAAACCAAAATGTTATGAGCACATCAATAAGACGATTTTAAACCTTTAGTAACGTCTAACTTGCCTCTTCGCATTACAAGAACTTCAAGATTAGAATATCCGTGAAGGAAATTTAGCAAAAATTTCACGCTAAACAAACACCAAATCTCAAAAGTCTGAGATTATGAAAAGGAGGCAAGTTGGTAGCATCAAGAACCAAATCCAGATCCTGGATAACCGGAAAGAGTAGTAGTTACTTGGTTAAACTCAACATATTATTAAGGAAACGAAATGTAAATGGAACAATGAAGTAGTAGTTCGAACAAGCTTAACCCAATTCCAGTGCCAGACAATAATAAACGCTTAACCTGAGAGATATCTCTAAGAAGCTTCAGTACTCTTCTTTCAATACTTAGAAGCGATGGGGCACGGACTCGTGCTTCAACCAAGGAAGGTGAGAATACTGATTAATCTACCGAAACCTTTAAATCTCTATGAACATCAAGTACAAAGTACTCAAGAGAAGGAGTATTAATCTCCAACCTATGATGAATACCTTCCTCGAGATAGCATACGGAAATAAATAATTTTTTTAAGGAAGGTACAGAAATAGATGCCCGCACACCATCCCAATAATGTCTCTTTATGGTCAACCCCTCTAGAACAGGACAGCTCGAAGAGAGCCTTCGCATTGAAAAATCATTTATGTATATGACAAACTCAAGATTGAGAGTATTGAGGCTTGGAAAGCAGAAAGAGGTAGGAAGGTTCAGCAATACCCTCCCTGAAATTTTCAAATGCTCTAGTGTCCTGCAGGTGAAAAGACTCCAAGGCAACTCCTTAACATTATTGCCAAATGAATGCATTTGAATAATTAACAGTTTCACTTTGGAACTTAATACACAAGAAACCCATGCATACAGATAGGAAGAAGCAACATCTGAGGAGCAATCCAAAAAACATTTTTGTATAGCTGATCCACCATGATGACAAAGAACGTGATCAACAAAGTCCTTGAAGGCGTTCCTACTACCTTGAAATCTCTAACCAAAACCAAGATTAGGAGAAGATGTTCATGCATATTCCCATCTTTTCGACAAAATGGAGGGTTTTCACAACATCTTTAGTGCGGAGAAATGAGAATATGTGGGCATGAACACCGGGCAGGCTACTGATCCTATCTAGACTTGTGCCATCACCACCAACATTTGGGTCATCCAAAAGCCTCTCTTTCTTAGGCTACTTATCTCTTAGTTTATTACTCAAATTTTATTATTATATTTATCTCTTAATTCTACACACTTTTTATTTTTTTATACTAATAATTTCTTTGTTGTTGTTATGTTTTCAGTTAATTTTACCTAACTAGAATCCTTTTTCCTTTCTTCACTGTGTAGAATCGCAGATGGACCTACCATTTAGAAAAACTATTCAAATTGCTCTAGGTTCTTTTTTTTTTTGGTTGCATAATAAGAAGCAACCATCTTCCATCCCTTGTCTCACCCCACCTATATGCCATATGACTTAAACTCAGAATCTCTTATTTTCAGTGAAAGAGATAACCACAAAACTATTTAGACAATTGCTCTAGGTTTAATGACTGCCATCAATGCATTATTAAACTGTGTTATCTTATCTTTGGAATTAAATAGTCTTCTGTGCCACGCATTTCACATGTATGATAAATGGATGTGTTATTTCATTACTCTTTATATTTTCATGCAAAGGCTCGAGGCTATTTTAGTTAATTCAAGAAATTCAGTGCAACACTTCATTTAAATCTACATTTTGTTAAATGTTGAGTTAATCGTTGACTTTAACTTTTTGAAAGCAGGTTCTCTGTTTGGAGTGTGGAGAAGAATAAGTTACGAAGTCATTGAACGCTCAAATTGTTGATGTACATGACCATGACCAGGGCCACAGAAGCTCTGCTTGTATTCTGCTTTTAGCTCTAGGTCATGTTGATCTTGATGGAATGACCATTTTTTATCTAAATCATAAAAATAAGGTATAAGTTCAAATAAGATGTATTCAATTGAGAATAAGTATTTCTTGTATAAATTTTATTCTAATAAAAGTTAAAATAAATTTTTTATTTAGTGATCAAGGTATCATTGTATCAGTTTTTCCATACTTTAAAATTAATTCTTTTTCAGTTCAGTCAAAAATAAGTCATTCATATTATGATTAAGAAATTTATAAAAAATTACTCTCTCATTGATCTTCTAATAAGTTGATTTTTAGTTAATAAGATGAAAGCAAAAAAGATTTTTCTCTTAACATTATTATTAAATGAAAGAAAAAAAAGACTATTACCTCTTAGAAATTCATGTATTATAATTTGAACTATACATCCACTCCATAAAACACTTTTTTATACTTCTTAATGTATTTATTTATCTAAAAAATGTGTTTTTAAGTATGAACATGCTTTTTATATGGTTTAGGTATTAAATTATAAAAAAAATATTAATGAATAAAACATAGAAGACGATTTTATTAAGGAGACTCTGGGAATTTCATCACAAGATTCTGTAATAATAAAACGCTCTTATGTACGTATTTATTTACCATAAATTTTGGTGAAAATAAAGAATAATTAGAGATAATTATCACCAATAGCACGTTTCAATCTAATACCATTAGATCCTAAATTAAAATCGTTTACTTTTTGTGGGTTTTGTATTCGATTCTTACATAATTTCTTTCTCTTTTTTCCCAATTAATATATTAAAAATTACAATCTTTTCACAAAAAAAGAAAAAGAAAAAAAGAAGAAGTTAGAAATGGCTTCACGTAGCCCAAAAAAAAATGAAAAATGAAAAAGACACGGCTTTCAAATTTGGGCCTAAACCTGGAAGACCCATAACCATAATCAGGGCCGTCGATGGTTATGCTGACTGCTGAGCAAAAGGGTAATACGGCCTTATTCTCTCGAAAGAGAGAGACAGAGAGTGAAAGTGCTTTATTTATGTATAAATTTCGTATATTATATTTATATAAAATTTTAATTTTTTATTTTTTATTTTTATTATATTTATATGAAATTTTTAGTTTTTATTTTTTATTTTTAAT